TTTAATTGTCCTTGTGTGTTTGTCAGTTGAATTCAAATACACAGCTGAGCACTGGGCCTCAAATTTATTACATTCTTTTTTTGGGCATTAGAAACAGTCATTAAAAAGAATTTTCTCTTTTTGAGCTGAAATGCCTGAATGTCAGCATCTAGAATCCGGTGAATTGAGCTGAAAAGCTGGTATTCCTCATTATAAAGAGTGATACAGAAATGTCTTCAGACATGTAAATGCAAGGGTAATTGTTTCTTACATGAAGAATTGTAGAATTACTTCTGCTTGCATGCACATCCCAAAAAAGCATATAAAATGCTGATTTGGATGGAAAACACTGCCCTTAACTCACCACTGAACTGTCCTTACTAGTTCATGCCTGTCCATTTGCCTGTGGCTCCATTCTTTCAGTTACTAAAACTTTTATTTTAAGATTTTATTTGTTTATTTGAAAGAGAAAACACAAGCAGGGGGAGTGGCAGAGGGAGAAGGAGAAGCAGACTCCCTGCTGAGCAGGGAGCCTAACATGGGGCTCTATTCCAGGACCCTGAGATCATGACCTGAACCAAAGGCAGCCAGCCAGCTGAGCCACCCAGCTGCTCCTAAATATTTATTTTAAAATCATAGTGTTCGCTACTTATCTCACAACAGATTCACATACATTTTTGTTTTCCTTTTTCCTGGGTGTTCAATCATCAGTGTCGGTTGCAACTTTCTCTACAGTTGCAACAATTCTCTACAATTGCTTTTGGTACCTTTACGGCATCACACTGTTAACAAACGGTTGTATTTTCTTTGCGGAGTGGCTATGCTCCAGCACATCTAGCTGTGAATTGAAAAGTCAGGGACACTTGGGGGGCTCTGTTGGTTGAGCCTCTGCCTTTGGCTTGGGTCAGGATCCCAGAGCCCTGGGATCAAGTCCCGCATGGGCTCCCTGCTCAGCGGGGAGTCTGCTTCTCCCTCTCCTGCTCTCTCTGCTTGTGCTCGCTCTCGCCCTGTGTGCTCTCTCGCTCACTGAGCCACCCAGGCGCCCCATTAATTTTTTTCTTTTCTTTTGAGTACAGTTCCATTTTAAACCATACTCAACCCCTATCTCTTTCCACCCTACACCACTTAAATTTTTCATTAGTTCATGAGGCATCGACAAAGCCTTTGTCCTTCCTGTAGTCTCTTGATTAAGGCCTGGTAACACCTGTATTCAGTGGACACAGCCTGTCTCTTGAGCTCTCCAGTTTGCACGTGGCACTCAGTAAATTTCTGTTGAATTGAAATCAATTGAAAGGCCAAGATGCTGCTGATCACCAGACAGACCCCAAGCAGGGTTCTGGCTGCAGCAGCCGAGATCCTTCCATCAGGAGAGCAGATTCTTAGCCTGGGTTCCTTAGAAAGCAGAGCTTGAGGCAAATTGTGTTCTATGGGAGAACATCCTGGGATCCCTGGACAAAAGGGCAAAGCAGGAAAGGAGGAAGAGCAAATTAAAGGTGGTGCATTTCTGAGTAGACCATAAATTCCTAAGAAACACAGCTGGTTGCTAAGGGCTGTTTGTAGCCTCTGCTCAGAAACTTCCACAGGGAGGGAGGAGGTAAGACCAGTTTCTCCACTAGGTGTTAACCTTTCTGCATTTTGGGCTTAGGCACCCAGCCTTGTGGGGCAGCTGCTGAATAAGCCAGAGCCCCCGTGGGTACACCTACAGGAGCCGAGATGTCTAGGTCGCCACTGGTTTTGTAAATAAAGTTTTATTGGAACACAGCCATCCCCATTAATTTACATACTGTCCACAATCAGTTTAAGGATCAGTAAAACCCACCTGAAAGGCTCATTCCGTATATTAAATAAGACAGTGGGGACACCTGGGTGGCTCAGTGGGTTAAAGCCTCTGCCTTCGGCTCAGGTCATGATCTCAGGGTCCTGGGAACGAGCTCCGCATCGGGCACTCTGCTCAGCAGGGAGCCTGCTTCCCTCTCTCTCTCTCTGCCTGCCTCTGCCTACTTGTGATATCTCTCTCTCTCAAATAAATAAATAAATAATAAATAAGATAACGCAAAATGCGGAGCATAGAGCCTGCCCACTGATGGGCTCTGAAGACGGTGGGATTTTGTGAATCGCCCCCTCCTCACTAATGGTGCTGCTCCCGGTACATCTCAGCAGACCCTTCATCTGCCTCCTGCCCTCCATTCTGTGGCAGACCTGAGGTTCTCCCCCAAAACTCAATCCTTTAAATTCAGACCTCTAGGTGTCAGGGGGTTTGCCGGGAGAAGCAGGTTGTACGAGAAACCCTCAAGCTGCTTCCAGCGGTTAGTGTGCGTGATCAAGTGTGATGGCAAGCAAGGTGTAAACTGTGCAGCAGAGTCAGGACAGTGGAGCATTTCCTGGGCGGCCCAAGATGAAAGTGCAAGGTGGAATCCGGCTGGTAAACTGGGAAGGAGGGTGGAAGGGCCGTGCGCAACAAGTTCCTGAGGGTCGTGACACAGATACCTCCCCATTTAGTCGTGGCTCACTGGCTAGGCATTAGCACTGCATTTCTCATATCTGCATATTTCCAGATGTTTCCACCTCCCGAGTGTGTGTGTGTGTGTGTGTTTTACCTGTCTTCCTTTTCATACTGTAGTTGCACTCTAGCACAAAAAGTTTGTTATCTCTGTTTATTATTTATTTTATTTTAAAATTTATATTTATATTATTTTTTATTTATTTTTTTAAAGTTTTGTTTAAAATCAGTTAATTAACATATAGTGTGTTATTAGTTTCAGGGGCAGAACTCAGTGACCCATCAGTGGCATACGATACCCAGTGTGCGTCACATCCCGTTCCCTCCTTCACGCCCATCACCCAGTTACTCCATCACCCCACACTGCTCCTCTCCAGCAACCCTTAGCTTGTTTCCTAGAGTTAAAACTCTCTTAGGGTTTGTCTTCCTCTCTGATTTCGTCTTGCTTTATTTTTCCCTCCGTTCCCCTATGTTCATCTGTTTTGTTTCTTGAATTCCACATGTGAGTGAAATCATACTGTAATTATCTGTCTCTGATTGATTTAACTTCACCCGGTGTAATATCCTCTAGTTCCATCCGGTCAGTTTTATTTCTTAGACTCATTGCAAGTTCCTTCCTGACAGCCGAAGTTTAGTCTCTCATCCAGCCTTCCTCAGGTTTGCTCTGAGGTCCATCTGTCGCATTATCTTCTGAGCCCATCTGGCCTCCTTGGCACCCGAGTCATCCAGAGCCCTCAGGTTTGCACGTGGGGAGCAGGGAGGCGGGCTTTGTGCAGTTTGGGTGCGAAGCGGAGATGGAAATGCTGTCGCACTCGTGTGCGGGTTGGCCACTCAGACCCTGGGCATCAGGGCCAGTGTACAGACCCCCCGTTGTCATTTTTATCTTTGAAAGCACATTTTGCACACTGTCCTCCAGAAGCCATTTCTGCTTTCCAAGAGCAAAGGAAGGTGGGGATCCACAGTCCAAAAACAGCAGGATTCATGCTTTCTGAGGACATGTGGGGAGTACTTCCATGATTTTGCAAGCAAGTGCGTAATCCCCAAGAGCAGTTAAGGTTTTGACAATGTCGCTCTGTTCCAGAATCCTATCCAAGCAGCTGCCCCTGCTAATAGACGTGCCAAGTTGGATCCTTTCAACGTGCTGGGGTCCGCAGCCTTCGCTAAAGGCTCGGCTGCCGATCTGGCAGTGTGTCCCTACCTGTGCCCCTACCCTGAATTCCGACAAGGAAGCCCAGACCTGTGGTAGTTGAGCCCAAGCCTTGCCTTACTTAAAATTGCAAAGTTGGCGGTGGAAATGTATTGAGCAGCTGGGTGGGAGGGCATGTGTCTGCATTTAAGTGTTTTCATGAGCTGGGGGTGGGAACAGTGGGGGGTTGCCTTCCCTTTGGTTGATTGGAAAAAACCTGGAGAGGGGCCCACTTACTGGGGTCAGAGATCAAAGGGTGGCTGCTTGGGCTTTGCCAGTGGGCCTATTAATTTATTAGATGATAAATCTGATAGGGTTTGGGGGGAGTTTTAAATAAAGCTTTGGTTAGTAAAGTCATAACCTAGATGTGTTTTTTTTCAACCTTGAGTTTTTGTTTTTTAACTTCACCGGTATGTTTACTGTTTTCATTAGTGATCATGTAATTTTTAAATTAAATTAAAAAAAATTTTTTTAAGTAATGCTTGCACCCAGTGTGGGGCCGGAGCTCACAATCCGTGATCCACAGCCCCATGCCCCATGGACTGAGCCAGCCAGGAGCCCAGTGAGGATATTATTTTGAAACTTTTATGCGTGCAGAAGAAAGCTTGATTTTCAGTGCGTAGTGAAACACACAGAAACAGTTAAGAACTCTGAATAAACTTGAATAACTTTTTTACAAACCATAACTACTCCTGAAAGCCTATTTGGAATGCCCAAACCTATGTTGAAGCTGAGTAAAAAACGGAACACCGAACAGTCAGGTGCAAAATAGGTCTGTGTCTCGTTAGGCGAAGCGCCCCCGTCTTTGTTCAAGATTTGAATTTCCACGAAAACCCTGTCCCTGCGGGATTGTTTCCGTGGCGGCCCGAGCACGCAAGGGCGCTGTTTGAATCCCTCGCCGCAGGGTTGATGAACGTGGTCCGGTCCCGTAACGCCTCGGAATCAGGGAGGTCGGCTCCCAACCAGGGAAAGGCTGGCAACTGAGGCATGTTTTTCTGGTCAGGTCAGTTAAGGCGAGATGGCCGTCTTGGCGAAGGCTCGGGGGAAGTGGACAAAGCTGAGTCGCCCGGCCTCGGGCGCTACTCCTTCCCGCAGCACCCCCCCTTCTTCCCCCCTTCCTTCTCCCCCTTCTCCCCCCTTCTCCCCCTCCTCCTCCGCCGCCCCGCCTCACCCTCGTGAGACCTCGTGGCGTTTGCGGAGGGCGCACAGCCCCCCGCCGAAGCCCGCGCCTTCTCCGCACGCGCGGGGGGAGCGGCCCGGGCACATGATCCCCCCCGCCCCCGGCCCGCCCAGCACCTGACTCCCGCCGGCCGCTGGGGTCCGGGCAGACCCGAGCAGCCGCGCCGAGCACGGCCCATGGCCTCCCCACGCCTCGGGACTTTCTGCTGCCCCACGCGGGACGCCGCCACCCAGCTGGTGCTGAGCTTCCAGCCGCGGGCGTTCCACGCGCTGTGCCTGGGCAGCGGCGCCTGCAGTCTGGCGCTCGGCCTCCTGCAGCTGCTGCCCCGGCGCCGGCCCGCGGGCCTCGGGGCCCCCTCCCCAGCCTCGCCGGCCTCGGCGCGGTCCCCGGCCTCCGTCCGCATCCTGCGCGCCATTGCCGCCTGCGACCTGCTCGGCTGCCTGGGTAAGGCGCGCGGCCCGCTGGTTGGGACCTGCTCTGCGCCCGGGTGAGGGAGCACTGCCCGCGGGTTGGGACCTGCTCTGCGCCCGGGTGAGGGAGCACTGCCCGCGGGTTGGGACCTGCTTTGCGTCCGGGTGAGGGGGCGCTGCCCCCGGGTTGGGACCTGCTCGGTCCCCGGGTGCGCGCGCACGGCCCGCGTGTTGGACCCTGCTGGTTACCCGAGTGAGGGAGCACTGCCCGCGGGTTGGGACCTGCTGGTTACCCGAGTGAGGGAGCACTGCCCGCGGGTTGCGACCTGCTGGGTCCCCGGGTGAGCGCGCTCAGCCCGCGGGTTGGGACCTGCTCGGTGCCTGGGTGAGGGAGCATTGCCCACAGGTTGGAACCTGGTGCGTGCCTGGGTGAGCGCGCACGGCCCGCGGGTTGGGACCTGCTTTGCGTCCGGGTGAGGGGGCGCTGCCCCCGGGTTGGGACCTGCTCGGTCCCCGGGTGCGCGCGCACGGCCCGCGGGTTGGGACCTGCTGTTTACCCGAGTGAGGGAGCACTGCCCGCGGGTTGGGACCTGCTGGTTACCCGAGTGAGGGAGCACTGCCCGCGGGTTGGGACCAGCTCGGTGCCCACGTGAGCGCGTGTGGCCCGCGGGATGGGACCTGCTGGGTGTCCGGGTGAGCGCGCGCGGCCCGCGCGTTGGGACCTGCGTTGCGGCCGGGTGAGGGAGCACTGCCTGCGGGTTGGGACCTGCTGGGTGCCCGGGTGAGCGCGCGCGGCCCTCGAGTTGGGACCTACTCGGTGCCCAGATGAGGGAGCATGGCCGGTGGGTTGGGACCTACTCGGTGCGCACGTTGGGCGGGGTGTCAGCTGCGTGCTAGGAGGGTAGCGGTCGAAACCGGAGGCGGCTCTCTAGGGACCGGACGGGGTGGCCAGGGGACTCAGCAAAACAGGATAGGCAGTTAAAATTACGCCCGGGGGACATTTGTTGAAGGGAATATACCAGTTTCTAATGTTTTTATTGCAAACGTTCTAGGGAAACTTTAGAAGGGGTGGTTAAGAAAACCCAGATATTGTGAGGGACCCATAATTACTCTGCTAGTGAGACTGATAGTATTTTGTGTATATACACAAAATCATTTCCAAAATGATTTAGCAGAACCAGGAATAACACTTGATGTATATATCTCTAATATATATAAATAGATATATTTTGTCAGGCTTGGGTTTCATACCACAGGTGGCCAACTGCCTGACCCTTTCTGAGGCCCAAAAGTTGTTGTATTTTTTTAATCAAAAGAAAAATATTTCCTGGTTTATAAATATTCCATGAAATTTAAATGCCTGTGTCCTTCAGGACAGTATGATGGGAGCACAGCCGTGCGTCTCACCTGCTGGATGTCCGCAGAGGTGGATATCCGCAGAGAAATTGTGGCCCATAAAGCCTAAAATATTTTTTATCTGGCCCTTTACAGAAACTTTGCCATCCCCTTTAAACATGCATGGCAATTTTTACAGACTTCTAAGCTAGATAGTGCCGAGCGTTTGTTTAAGGGTTTATTTTGGAGAATTTCTAAGAAACACAAATCACACAGACTATATAATGAACCCCTGGACCCATGACCTCACTTTATCTACACTCCATCCTGTACCAACTCTTCACTGCATTAATGGAAATCAAGTCCCAGGACGTATGTACTTTTGTCTATACGGATCTCGGTATATAGCTGTGAAAGTAAGAAGGAAGCGTGTATGTATACACACGTATGTTACAGGTAGTATTATCACCTTAAAATAATGAAAATCAGGTTTTTTTTTAAGATTTTATTTATTCATTAGAGAGCGCGCGCGTGCAAGCACAAGCTGGGGGAGAGGAAGAGGGAGAAGCAGGCTCCCCGCCGAGCAGGGAGCACAATGGTGGGCTCGGTCCCAGGACCCTGAGATCATGATTTGACCCGAAGGCACATGCGTAACTGGCCAAGCCCCTCAGGAGCCCCAAAAATCAGTTCTTTAAGGTCACTGCTGTATGTTCAGTTGTGTCCTAAATGCTGTTTTACGGTTGGTTGGTTTGAATCAGGGTCCAGATACAGCCCACACTTTGCAGTTGGCTGACAAGGTGCTCACCAGTTTGGAATTGATTTTTCAGTAAGTTTGCTTTTGAAGCAGAAGCTGTTGATGGCTTTGGGCCCTGAGGGGATGGGGGCAGCTTATTCCGCACCTTGGGCACATAGCAGTACAGGTCCCTGTGTCTCAGGGCCCCGTTCTCCAGTCTGTGCTCCTGTGCCTGGAGACCCTCAAGGACCTTGACTTCCAGTAAATGCTATGGACCTCTAGTCACTTTCTCAGACTCGAGGAGTCAGACAGGAAGCAGTACTTCCTTTCTGTGAGGGATAAAATCATCTTGGTGCTCGTTAATTCAATCAGGTTGGTTTTCTTCCTGATGATGCTAAAACATTTTGAGAAAGCATCCTTTTTTGTTTGTTTGTTTTCTTAAGTTTATACGTGGGGCTCGAACCCATGACCCGAAGAGTCACCCGTCCTGAGGACCGAGTCACCCAGGCACCCCTAGAAAAGTATCTTTTTTTTTTTTTTTAAGATTTTATTTATTTGAAAGAGAGCACAGAGTGAGAGTAAGAGAGCACAAGCAGGGCCAGAGGCAGAAGGAGAAGCAGACTCCCCACCAAGCAGGGAACCCCACTTGGGGCTTGATCCCAGGACCCAGGGATCATGACCTGAGTCGAAGGCAGACACTTAACCGCAGAGCCACCAAGCCACCCTTGGAAAAGCATCTTAATAGCAATTTAGGATCCGTGGAATGATACTCGTATATACTCTCCCTTTGAGAAGGGACATATGTGGTGTTAACAAGTGAGCAGAGGCAGAATTAAGGGAAAGGCTTGGTGACTAACACCTCCCTGAAAAATAAATACTTAAAATGCCGACCTCATAGGGCAGAGGTTTTTTTCAGTTTTATTTAGATGTTATTGACATACAGCCCAGGAAATTTAAGATCTAGAGCATAATGACTTAACATACACGTGTGGTGAGATGTTTACCACTGTAAATCGACATTCACCCGCTCACAGCGATACGAATGTAGGTCGGGCACGTATTGAGCTCGCTCACAGGAGTGCTCGAAGCATTCTTCATACAGCATTCTGCGGAAGAAAAGCATTATTTGTGAGCAGCGCTGATAACGAGAAGGTAGATCGCGAGTTCTTTTGCTGTCCATAGTTCCTCTTTAGTGGCATGTGGCGTGATATAGACTTGCTATCGTACTTCATGATGTGTATTTGGTTATATACCGCACATTATATAGACGGCCTTTTTAAAAGATTTTGTTTGAGAGCGACAGAAAGGACAAGCGCAGGCGGGCAGGTAGTGGGCAGAGGCAGAGGGGAGGCAGACTCCCCACTGAGCAGGGAGCCCGATGCAAGCCCTCTGGGATCATGACCCGCGCGGAAGGCAGACGCTCAGCCGCCCGCGCTGGCCAGGCGCCCGGTGTTTGCCGGTGGATCGGACAGTGTATTTCGGGCGCTGGAGTGTGCAGGGCGAGCTTGCTGGTGGGTTACAGTGTCTAGTAACGTATCGCGAATTGTGTATTTAATAGCGTCTTACACATGGTGTAGGTGTGCACGAGGACACTGTGTAACTTCGTAGTGTGTACAGTTACCCTCTAGTATCGTCTCACGGAGCCTGTGCTTCCACAAAGCATATCCCGTCACCTGACGAGCAGCCTTTGTATAGATCTTACGGGTGTGTTATACTGTTCTGAGGAGAATTAGCTATTCGGGTCCAGTAGCAAAGAAAACTTAACAAAAAAAGTAGATGTCAAGAGCAAGTTGCCGAGAGCTACTTTGTGAAAATCTTAAGTGCGTTTTTTCAGGGAATGAAAGAATTATCTCTTCACATTTCAGAATTGTGCTTTTGCAGTCATTTTTTTCCTGTGAGGAGTAGTTAATAGGGACATTGAAAATAGCGAAGAAGTAGATTGTTGTCCCCATAACGGCTGCTTCGTATGGAGGGAACAAACAGCAACATTGGGGTAGGACCGCGGCTGATGATGGTTCAAGTCGAAATCGAAGTGCCTGGGCTTGCTTTGTGGCCGAAGAAATTGCTTCCTGGGTCTCCCGTGTTTCTCCGTCTCTCTGCACACACTCGTGTGTGTGTTTCTCTCCTCCCTCATTTCTTTCTCTGTCCCTTCCTAGCTGTTCATCCCTCTGTCCGTCTGCCTACCGCTCCCGAGCCGGGGCACTGGGCCAGCTGCCCGCGTGGATTCTGACGGCTGCGAAGTGCCGTAGCTCGCCCACAGCCACGGCCCGGCTCTCCGCAGGCTCGGTTGCCCCGGGGCGCTGGGGTCGGGAAGCAGGCGCTTTTCTTCCCGGGTGCTGGGAGGTCGGTGGTCGGCTCCCAGCACCTCACGATGCCCGCGTCCTTCTCCGCATGGCGTCTTGTCACGCAGGCCCCTGGTCCCGTCACACCGTCACAAGAAGGGTGAGGGCAGTGCGGTATGGTGTTGGGGCAGAGGCCCATGACGATGTTGGGACAGCGTCCATGACCGTCCAGTGTTCTAGTTCTATTTTATTATTGTTGCTATTGTCTTACAGTGTCTGGTAAACTGCTCTGTCCCAGGAACACATGTAGCGGAAAAACGTAGATGGGATTCAGTAGGGTCTGCGGTGCCAGCCTCCACTGGGGGTCCTGGAATGCGTCCCCTGCGGGATGGGGATGACCATATCCGCTCTTTCTCTTGTAGGTATTGTGTTCCGGTCTGCGGTGTGGTTGGGATTCCCAGATTTCGTTGAAAACCGCTCTGACAGGAATGGGACGGACGTCTGGCCGGCTGTGTACTGTGTGGGGAGCGCGGTGAGTGCACCTTCCTCTCGCTTGCCATCGTTTCCCCTCTGTGCCCCTCTTAGGCTGCCATCCTCAAAGTGTGGTCTCCGGCCACTGGGATTTGTTAGGAATGCAAATTCTCAGAGCCTGCTGCTCAGGGTCCTTGGGGAGGGGGGTTATCTGCCAAGTACTCAACCCTCCAGGAGCTTGTTTGCAGTGCTGGATGACGAGAAGATAGATCTTAAGTTTTGTAGTGTCCCGAGTTCCTCTTGGTTCCTCTTCAGGGGTATGCTGCATGATATAAGGGGGCTCCTGCCACCTGCTTCCTTCTGAGGACCGCCCTGGAGTGTGGCTGCTCTGTGCTCCCCCTTCTAAGCACACATAGACCATCCTTACCTTAGCCTCAGCTGCCGCTAAAGCCAGCTGGCCAAAAAGAAAAAGAGAGAAGGCAGTTACTGACGTATTGGGTGTGTTCCGCTTGATAAAACCTGCATGGAAATGGACATCTGTATCTCGCTCTGTGCACTGCGCCGGAGCAGAATTCTCCGCTCCTCTGTCCTGCCCGCTCGGCTTCCCAGCTGCGTACAGGGCAGCCTGGGTCTCACCACGGCACAGCCCAGCAGGCACACCGGTCCGTGCTGCCCGTAGCGCACCGAGCCCCTTCCTGGCCGCTCCTGGGAAGCTCTTTCCGGTCCTTGCCCCTTTGTTCTCAGCGAACAGCTGCTCCTTCGCAGGCGCCGTGAGCCCTCAGGCCAGCATGGGCCTCCCAGCTGAGGCCGTCATCGTCCTGGCCTGCGAGTGTCCCGAAAGGCAGGCCTGGCCCGTGCGCAGAGGGACATCCCACCCCTGTGTCCCCAGACCGTGCACGCGTCTCCAGATGGCTTCCCTGTCCTGCTTCCCAACATCACAAGAAAGAGGCGTCTGCCGGCTCATCTCACGGACCGGGCAATCCGCTGTCTGTTTCCAGAGCTTTGATGCACACTCTTCCTGATTACAGATGTGGGTCCAGCTGCTGTATAGTGCCTGCTTCTGGTGGCTGTTCTGCTATGCGGTCGACGCCTACCTCGTGATCCGGAGATCGGCCGGACACAGGTACGTTCAGAGGGAACAAGGAGAGCTTTCTGCCCAGCTTCTGTCATGTGAGGAAGGGCTGGGGGCACCCCGATGGCTCTGGGATGTTCTTCAGTATGGCAGACACAGAATGTCAGCCAGCCCCTCTGCGAGAAACCTCTCTGGCCCCTCACTGGTACAAAAGGGTGAAGGCAAATTCACAGTGAGGATGTTTAGACCATGACCAGTCATCCATAAATTACATGTTTGCATTCTGGACACATACTAAAGAAGAATTGGCAGGAATACAGACAGTTTTTGAGATATAAAGGTTTGAGGAGACAAGTCTTTGCAGTGCGTTTTGACATGTTATGCCAAACTTGGAACCGGAGTACCAGAGCTGCCAGGGGCTGCTTGTGGAGAAAGGGCCCCGTGGGTGCGGCCCGTGCATTTGTCACCAGCTGGGGAACTGTGAGCAAGTCGCTTGATCTCTCTAGACTTTCATTGTGCCGGCCATGAAACTGTAGCGCCCATCGGGTCCCGGGAGATGCCGTGCGATGCTGCGTGTGAATGGTTGAGAACCAGGCCTGGCACGTCGTGAGCTCTCGGGAGCTGTGCGCTGGGATGTGCGTGTGTGTTGGGGGACACAGATACAGAGAACCTAAGTGAGCAGGGGAAGCCGCGTGGCAGGGTGGGGTGAGCGCCCAGGTCCCCTGACTCCTGGTCCAGGAAGCATGTGTCCCCCACTTTCCCATGGAACCCTTGTTTGCTTACTTTTTTCTTTTTAAGTTTTATGAAGTTCACCCGTTTAAGTGTATAAAATCCATTGTTTTTTAGTTTAGTTATAAAATCGTGCAACCATCACACCAACTAATTTTATGACATTAGTCATCAACACCCCCGCCCCCAGGCTCTACCAGTGATGAATTCCTCCCCCCACCCCCCAGCTCCTGGCAACTGCCAGTCTGTTTGCTGTCTCTAGCTTTGCCTACTCTGGGCATTGCCTGAAAGTGAAATCATTAAAACATGTGACCTTTCGTTTCTGACTTTTAAACTTAGCAGGCCGTGTTCAAGCTTTCCCTGTGTTGCAGCACCGTCTGTTCTGTGAGCTTCTGAATACTGCTCTGTTGTATGACGAACTACATTTTATTTAATTTTGAGAGACCAAGCATGTGAGCAGGGGAGTGGGGCGGCGGCGGAGAAAGAGAAAGAGAGAGAGAAGGAACAAGGAGAGAGGGAGAATGTCAAGCGGGCTCCACTCTCAGCACAGAACCTGACATGGGGCTGGATCTCATGATGCTGAGATGATCATGACTTGAGGTGAAATCAAGAGTCAGATGCTTAACAAACTGAGCCACCCGGGCGCCCTCGGGTGTACTGCATTTAAAAAATACGTGTGTCTGTATACATATGTATGTATATACATATTTTTTTTAAGATTTATTCATGTGACAGAGCAGCAGAGGGAGAAGCAGGGGGCACCATACAGGGCTGCATTCTAGGACCTTGGATCATGACCTGAGCCGAAGGCAGCCGCTTAACCCACTGAGCCCCCCAGGCGCCCTTTAAATAATTTTTTAAGACATTATTTTATTTTTAAATTTTTTTAAAAAGATTTTATTTATTTGACAGAGGCAGGGAGACAGTGTGAGAGGGAGCACAAGCATGGGGAGTGGGAGAGGGAGAAGGAGGCTTTCCGCTGGGCAGGGAGCTCCGGGGTGGGGCCCAGTCTCAGGACTCTGGGATCGTGACCTGAGCGGAAGGCATCTGCTCAACAGACTGAGCCACCCACACGCCCTTAAAGATTTTATTTTAAAGATTTACTTATTTATTTGAGAGTGTGCATGTGTAAGTAGGGGGAACAGCAGAGGGAGAGGATTTCAAGCAGATTCCCCACGGAGCTCAGAGCTGGTCTTGGGGCTCCACATGGAGTGTGATCACAGGACCCATGAAATCACAACCTGAGCCGAAACCAATAGTCAGATGCTTAACCAGCTGAGCCACCTGGTGCCCCTAAGGTGCCTTTTCCCAAAATGTATGTGAGATGTCTCACCGAAGGATATTGGAAAAACAGTCTCTGGTTGCGCGTAGATGCGAACAGCAAAGACGTTTATGAACTATTATTTCCAGATTAACCGGCGTGAGGAAGGGGAGGAAAATGAGGCTTAATCTGGAATATTTTGTTCCAAGGTGAAAAAAACTTGGGAACCAAGCATAAAAGAAGAGAGTTTCAACACCGTAATTTAGATCTGTGATCCATTTAAAAGATTCTCTTTTTAACTAATGTCCACACCCACAGTGGGGCTTGAACTCACAATCCCAAGATCAAATGGTCTTTGATCCATTATAATTATTTTTAAGATGTTGCGTATTTATTTTATTGTGGGGGGGAGAGCAGAGGGAGAGAGACTCTCAAACAGACTCTGTACTGAGCATGGGGCCTGATGGGGGGCTCGATCCTGCGAACTTGAGGTCATGAGCTGAGCCCAAACCAAGAGTTTGATGTTTAACTGCCTGAGCCACTCAGGAGCCCCAGTGATCCATTTTAAATTAATTTTTATGTAGGTGAGGAAAGGGTCAATGTTCATGCCTTTGCATGTGGATGGCCACTTGTCCCAGCACCATTTGTTGAATAAATTTTACTATTTTATTTTATTTTATTTTATTTTTTTTAAAGATTTTATTTATTTATTTGACAGAGATCACAAGTAGGCAGAGAGGCAGGCAGAGAGAGAGGGGGAAGCAGGCTCCCTGCTGAGCAGAGAGCCCGATGTGGGGCTCGATCCCAGGACCCTGGGATCATGACCTGAGCCGAAAGCAGAGGCTTTAACCTACTGAGCCACCCAGGCGCCCCAAATTTTACTTTTCTAAGTTATTTTTTAAAGGTTTTATTGAAAGATTGTATTTATTTATTTGAGAGAACGAACTGGAGGCATGACCGAGGGAGAGGGAGAAGCAGGCTCCCTGCTTGATGATCCCAAGGTCCTGGGATCCAGCCATGTGTGGGGCTCCCTGCCCAGTGGGGAGTCTGCTGTTCCCTCTCCCTCTGCTGCTCCCCCTGCTTGTGCTCTCTTGCTCTGTCAGATAAATAAATACAGTCTTAAAAGGAAATAATTGGTATTCCTCATGTGTTCTCATCATTAACTTGGGTTTCTCTGGCTTGAAGTTTAGTGTCTATTTTTGTGCTTGTTCCTTCCACCTCTTTACTTTAGCTTGTAGACTTTTATTCATCTGAACAGAACCTGTATACTCGTGGTTTTGAAAATTCTCCAGGGAAGGCAGTGAAGGTCAAAGGCAACCAACCAGATATGTCTGTGAAGATTACCTTTGGCTATGTAAAATACAGAAAATAATAGTGATTTAAACAAGATAATTTTTCTTTCATTCTAAAGGAGGCCACAGGGGGGGCGCGTGAGTGGCTCAGTCATTGGGCGTCTGCCTTCAGCTCAGGTCATGATCCCCGGGTCCTAACCCTGCTCAGCGGGAAGCCTGCTTTTCCCTCTCCCACTCCCCCTACTTGTGTTCCCCCCCCCCTTGTTTTGTTTCTCTCTCAAATATATAAGTAAAATCTTTAAAAAAATAAAAGAGGCCAGAGGTAGGCAATCCAGGGCCCTTACGATGGACATCAGGGACCCAAGTTCCTCCTGTCTTCTTGCTCTGTTGTCGTATTGTGTGACTTCCAACTTCAAGGTATCATGGCCCAATACAGCTGCTGGAGCTCTAGCCATCACATCTGCATTCCAGGAAGGAGGAGGGGGCTAATGCATAAAGGTCCGATTTCCTCTGAGCCACCTCCCTTTAAGCAGCTTCCCTGGGGATTTGACACAACAATTCCACTTTCGTATTATTGGCCAGAATTTAGTTTCATGGCCATACTTAGCTGCAAGAGGAGGTTGGAAGTATAGTCTGTTAGCCAAGCATGCTGCTGATGGGCATGACATATAGGTTATGTTTCTAAGGAAAAAGGGAAGATGACTTTGGGTAGGCAACTAGCTCCAGTGAGAGGTCTTTGACCCGGAAGCCCAGTGTAAGTGTGTGTTCCCGTCTGGGACCTCTCTCACTCAGTTTTGGAGGGATTGGAGTTAGGACACACTAGAGGTCTCACAGACAGCCAGTTGTGGAGATAAGAGGAGCGGTGGAGCTGGAAAGGAGGCTGGAAGAAGAATGTGCCTCCTGCTCTCACAGGGTGTGCACTGCTCTGCCCCCGGTCATGGACAGCTGTGGTCAGACGGGGCAGCCTGAGAGCTTTCTGGACGTAGAAGACAGGCTGGGCCCTTGGAAGCCAGGGCAGGCAATCAGGAAGCCCTCCTCATGCCCAGAAGAGTGTTTGGAGCTCATCGTGCAGAGATGAGCAGATGCTGGCGGAGAGGAGCATAGCTTCTAAGGACCTGCCAGTCAATGAGGAGGCAGACGTCCAAAGATGTGAAACGTCCAGATGCTTCCTAAGGACAAGAGCAAGGGCAGTGGTCCAGCACTAGGAAGACCATTGAGAGTGAAACAGGGTCTCCCATCACAAAGGAGTAGGGATGGGGCGCCTGGGGGGCTCAGTCGGTTAAGCCTCTGCCTTCGGATCCGGTCATGATCCCAGGGTCCTGGGATCGAGCCCCGAGTCAGGCTCTCTGCTCGATGGGAGCCTGTTTCTCCCTCTCCAACCTGCTTCTCCTCCTGCTTGTACTTTCTCTCTGTCAAATAAATAAATAAAATCTTAAAAAAAAAAAAAAAAAAAAGCTACCTGGGACAGATCCAAGGCAGGGCCCAGACATTGCAGGTAGGGCTGGACTAAATGACATGTTCCCTTCGAGATCCTTCCAGTCCTTAGCTATTTCTTTGGCACTGGAGAATCTTTTTAAATCCTAATCTTAGGGGCGCCTGGGTGGCTCAGTGGGTTAAGCCTCTGCCTTCGGCTCAGGTCATGGTCCCAGGGTCCTGGGATTGAGCCCCGCATCTGGTTCTCTGCTCAGCAGGGAGCCTGCTTCCCCCTCTCTCTCTGCCTGCCTCTCTGCCTACTTGTGATCTCTGTCTGTCAAATAAATAAATAAAATCTTTAAAAAAAAAATCCTAATCCTAAGAAATGTCATTAAGACCAATTTAGAGTTAAAATTTAAACGGCTATGTTGGTTCCTGATGTGGGGTGTACAAGTTTTAAACAATAACGATAAAAGAAGGCGCTTGAGGTTATGGGAAAAGCCCTAAATTGAGTTTTTTGGGTTTGTTTTTTTTTTTAACGAATTTTTATTTATTAATTTGACAGACAGCGAGAGAGGGAACACAAGCAGGGGGAGTGGAGAGCCGAGGAGGGAGCCTGATGCTGGACTCGATCCTAGGACCCTGGGATCATGACCTGAGCTGAAGGCAGATGCTTATCGACTGAGCCACCCAGGTGCCCCTAAATTGAACTCTCTACTTGCTCTGTGGACATGAGTGTGAGAGGAAGGGGGCCTGGGGAGGGCCCTTGCGTGCCTGCACCTGGACACTGTCTGGTGGTCAGATAAAGGGACGGGGATCTGCAGCCTCCCGCTGCCCTTCATTGTGGGTGCCTGGGAGCTCAGACTCATCCCGGGTGCGGGTTTGGGGTTGTGTATGTTACTGAAGTGCCTGCCATCCACACAGCCTGGCCAGACTGAGTAGAGCACCATTGCCTAGTCTGGCCACATCCAGCCCTGCCTCGCCTCGCCTCGCCTCGCCTCACCCCCTGGCCTGCTGTCACCCACCTCTCAGTACCCCTGGCTCCCTCCCGCCCAAGGTGAGGGTCTGTAATGCAGACCTTCTGCACTGTTCAACCACCCAGGCCCCCGCAGAGAGCTGCTCCTTTTTCCCTCCGTTCCATGCGGAGCCTCTGACATCTGGGCCAGACGCGCCCCACCCTCTCCCAAGCCCAGAGAGACGGGGCAGGGCCGCTCCAGGACTGGCAGGAGCACACGCTGGAGTTGTTGCCTTGCGGCCTTCTGGAGAGCTGGCTATGAAAGGTTTCTTCTTCCTGAAGCTCACCCCTGTGTGCCGTCTCCTGTCTCCGAGGAGGGCATCCCCTCGCGTGGGTCCTGCCCTGTTCCTTGTCTACGCACCTGATTTCAGAGTTAAAATCCCGATGGGTTGGGGGTTGCACAGTTTGCTAGGAGGCTGGCAGAGTCTTGGGTTGTGGCTAGCGCGTCCCATGGATCGCTGCAGCCCTGTCCCGTGGCACAGGGGAGGCACAGTAAAGGCTGCGTGGCGCCGTCAGATAGCTGGGCATCCGTGCGCCGGACCCCAGCTGCAGGGCTGGCTGCCTCCGGTCTGCCTGCACTGTGTGGGGGCGTAGGAGGATGAAGGCTAGAGATGGTCGGGGAATGGGAGGTATGCCGTGAATGGTGGGGCGTGAGGGAGGAAGGGAAGCTCCCCACACTCCTGGAACAGCAGATGCGTGCGCGTTTCTTCAGAGACCTTGGTTTGGACTGAGCACGGAGACGCTTGACTTGGAGGGACAGGGGTGCCTCTGGGAAGGTTTGGGGATAGGAGCTCCTCTCCTAGCGGGTGAGCTACGTGCTTAGGAGGACTGGTGAGGTGTCCGTGCCTTGTTTGCTCATCCATGCAAGCCTCGTGGTGGGAAAGAAGCCAGATGCAGAGGGCCGCACGCTGTGTGACTCCCATTTGCCTGCATCGTGCAGCATGGGAAACGCCACAGAGACCCAGAGGAGGCCGGGGCTTGCTGGGGGCCGCGAGCAGGAGGAACGGGGAGGCCCGCCTGATGCGCGTGGGGTTTCCTTCCGGGGTGATGAGGTTTCCGAGCTGGATGGGGGAGATGGTTGCACAGCGTTGTGAGTTTACCCACTGCTCCTGATCTGCTCACTTGAAAACGGTTACTCGATGTTCTCTTTCTTTCATTTCAATTAAACAAAATCCCAGAGGCCTGATAAGGCAAGTCTCGGCCAAGGGTTTGCTCAGGGTACGTTTTCCTGACGCTTCGGGTGGCTGGGAGTGGGTCTGGTACTTTCTGTGGCTGGACACGCTCATCCTTCCTCTCAGGCAAGGCCCCCGTCTGCTTCCCCCACAGCACGATGCTGCTCTACCGCCTCGCTGCCTGGGGCCTGGCCGCCCTGCTGTGCGTGGAGGGTGCCGTCCTGCTCTACTCCCCATCTGTGTCCAGGTAAGCTGGGGCTCCAGCTCCCGGGCCCCTCGGGATCCTGCGGACGGGGCGTGGGCGCGTAGCCAGAGTGGGCCCCTCACAGGCCAGGCCCTCATGTGCAGAGCCGCCTGGCGGCCCCTCGACGGAGTAGGGAGGCCCATGACAGTGTGCTCTGTGGCTCACGTCCCAGCCTCTGCCCTTCGCGTCTGGGTGCTGGGCAGTTGTGCACACAAGCGCGGGTGCAGAGCTCCAGCTGCATCTCCTTCCGGGATGGGTGTGCACACAGCTCTAGGTGTGTTCTCCGCACGGAGGGGGCTTTCGCAGGCACACGCTGTATTTTTCACGCCAGCTGTGGCCAACGAGCAAGGGCGGTGACCGTCCTGAGGAGGAGTTTGCATCGGCGGGCAGAGTCCTGAGCGTTGCTCTTGGGAGAGCTAATTCTGAGCCTCCGCTAGCCTCACCTTGTCACTTCTCTCCCAGCTGTCGGCTCTCCTGAACAGATACAGGGAGAGAGTGGTCTGAAATGGTCTCAGCTTCTTCTTCAACCTAATACCTCATCCGTGCGGGGTGCTGGGGTGGCTCAGTCGGTGAGGCATCTGCCCTCTGCTCTGAGCCCCTTGTCTGAGCAGGGAGCCTGCTTCTCGCTCTCCCTCTGCTGCTCCTCCTGTTTGCACATGCTCACTCGTTCTCTCTGTCAAACAGATAAAATCTTAAAACAAACAAACAAACAAAACAGTATGTCTCATCGATGCAATCATTTGGAAGGCCTTATGGTTCCTCCAAGTATGTATATTCAAACTGCCAGTGGAAAGCTGAAAAACAGGTTGGACATTGTCTCTTTGTGATTTTAGGGCAGTGTAGACAAGGATCAATAGAGCACAGCCCTGAGAACAAATCCGGCCCTCTGCTTGGTTTTGTAAATAAAGTTTTATTGAAACACAGTCATGGCCATTTGTTTATGCCTGATTTATAGCTGCTTCCGTACTGCAGTGTCCGTTCCGACAGGCTGTGTGGTCCACGGAGCAAAAAATACTTCTGTCCGTGTTCCCTGACAGAAGTAGTTTGCGGACTCATGGTTTTCTACCCCCCCCCCCTTTTTTTTTTTCCACTTCTTGCAGCTACTTAGTTAGATGTCTCCAGATTGGTGTTGCCTAGGTGAAGGTCCGTGCTCCCAGAGTTGTGGGTCTGTGTACCCACACAGCTGCCCTTGATTGGAGAGGGAGTTACCGTCCATCAGCTTCACCCGTGGGCTCCGGGAGCCTCCTGGGACGGTTACATCTGAGCGTGAGGGAGCCAGTGGCGCAGGGCTCACGAGGGGCTCTGCGGCGCCCCCATGGTCCTGAGGAGGCCGCTCCTGGGCCTGTGTCCAGCTCTCATCCTCACCCTCTCCTTCGTTGCTCACTTTTTTGCACTTCCTATCATTTCCCCCTTCCACACTGACCGCGCCACGCCTGTTACAACAAGGGCTCCTGTGTCTTTATCGCCCCACCTTCCGGGGCCGCAGGGGCCGTCCCCCAGCTGGTTTGCTACCTCCTGCGTGCCTGGGGCAGTCCTCTCTCCCCTTTGCCTTTGATTCTCGCTTCCTCTTGGCCCTTTTTTCTCTTACATGATGCATTTCTTTGCTGATGGCTCTGACCTTGGTAAACCCACACCTATGTGTGGCCCCTGCGTCACGGGCTGACGGGCGAGTCCCATGATCCCTCAGTAGGAATTCCCGCCCTTGAGGACTCCTGCCTGCGTGGCTCCGGGTGGTTAAACCCTCCCCTCCGGCTTGTGACCTCTTTTTCTCTCTCTCTCTCTCTCATACTCTAACAAATAAATTTTTTAAAAAAGACTTCATTTATTCATTCATGGGGTGGGGGGTGGGATACAGGGAGAAGCAGGCTCCCCATCATGCAGGGAGCCCACACGGGGCTCGATCCCAAGACCTGGGATCATGACCTGAGCCGAAGGCAGACGCTTCCCCGACTGAGTCACCCGGGTGCTCAAAATAAATCAAGTCTTAAAAAAAAATTATAGTCCTTCCTGAAAAGCACCCGTGAAACGATTGTGAGGCACAACCGTGGAACACGTTTGTTCTGGAAAATGAAGCTTGGGTATTTCGGGGTGCTCTGGGGGCGGGACTGGATATTCTTCCCAGGGCTGGCCAGGCATGGTGCCGAGCAGGTTCCTAAAACCTCACTACTGCACTGAGCGTCTCTGTGTCTACTTGAACAGTGTCTTTTTTTTCCTTGAGGAGACCCAGGGTGGGGGCTCCCCCATTCCAATGTGTCTGTTTCTGTCTTTCCCGGCAGGGCCCTTTAACAGGTCCCCCAGTGGAATGCCTTAGAGGCCCTCCCGATTTCAGGACCGCTGGAGCCCTGACTGAGCCGCCTTTCTCTCAGTGCTCCCTTGCTTCCTGGCAGACAGGAGCTACAGCCAGGTTTCCATTGGGCCGGCTGCAAAGTGGATTTATGCATTTCCCTGGCCACTCTCCTGTTCTTATCTCGGCTTCCAGATAAGTCTGTATGTTTCGGCAAAGCCCTGTTTTCCAGAACGACTTGTTTCCTCCCACAGGTGTGAGCGAGACCTGGAGCACGCCGTCCCCCACTACGTCACCACGTACTTGCCGCTGCTACTGGTCTTCGTGGCCAACCCCATCCTGTTCCGGAGGACGGTGACTGCGGGTGAGTAACAGGGAGCGCTCCAGGGGCGGAACCACGGGGATACGGCTGTGCGCCTTGGGCTCATGTGGTGGCAGGTGTCGTGCTTCTGGAATCACTGGGATAGTTGCCCTCATCGGTCCCCCTCCAGAGACGGAAGCACAGGACACGTGGGGACCGGGAGCGCATGTGATAACGGCGGTGAGCAGGCTCCATCTTTGCCAGCGTTGAACAGCTCTAGGCCAGGACCAGTGGGCTTTCCGTCTCCGTTGGGGCTCATCGTGAGTCTGCGCTTGATGTGCCCTGCACGCCCCGGGCGTGCCCTTGGAAAACTGTGGAGTTCCGATGGGGCCGGGGGATGAGTCTGGGCTGAAGAGTGGTGAGTCTGGCTACTCCCAAGATAGGCTTGGCTTGTGTCTTTCCTCGGTCCGGCAGGAAACAGGAAGTAGAGCATAGGAAATGAGTCAAATGCAGTGCTAAGAACTGGATAAGAAGGATGTTGTGAGCCAGCAGAAAGCCCTGGAAAGGCCTCTACTGAGACTGGGGACTTGGCATTCCAGTCCCCAACCGCATCCTCATGGGAGCGTGACCCGGAGCAACCTCCAGCCTTAAGCCCCGGCCATCCCTCAAGTGCGGAATAAGAATGAGGAAGTGCGGGGCGCCAGGGTGGTCAGTCCGTTAAGCCTCCTAGGATTGAGCCTTGTGTCATCTTGGGGTCCGGGGATCCAGCCCTGCATCATCAGGGTCCCTGCTCGGGGGCGGGGTTCTCCTTCTCCCTCTGCCGCTCCCCCAGTGTGTGCACGTTTTCTCATTCTCAAATGAGATCTTTAAAAAAGAAAAAAAAGTGCATCTTAATAGGGGGTTGATTGAAGATGAGCTGTTGACTGTAGAACTTTTAAACGTTCAAAGGACTCTACCAGAAGGAAATGGAAATCATTGTATATATACACCACATCTTCTTTATCCATTCATCTGCTGATGGACATCTAGGTTCTTTCCATAGTTTGGCTATTGTAGACATTGCTGCTATAAACATTGGGGTGCACGTGCCCCTTTGGATCACTACATTTGTATCTTTGGTAGTAGTATCAATTTGTAAATACCCAATAGTGCAATTGCTGGGTCTTAGGGTAGCTCTCTTTTCAATTTTTTGAGGAACCTCCATGCTGTTTTCCAGAGTGGTTGCACCAGCTTGCATTCCCACCAACAGTGCAGGAGGGTTCCCCTTTCTCCGCATCCTCGCCAGCATCTGTCATTTCCTGACTTGTAATTTTAGCCATTCTGACTGGTGTGAGGTGGTATCTCATTGTGGTTTTGATTTGTATTTCCCTGATGCCGGGTGATGTGGAGCACTTTTTCACATGTCTGTTGGCCATCTGGATGTCTTCTTTGGAAAAATGTCGGTTCATGTCTTCTGCCCATTTCTTGATTGGATTATTTGTTCTTTGGGTGTTGAGTTTGATAACTTCTTTATTGATTTTTGATATTAGCCTTTTATCTGTACTGTCATTTGTGAATATCTTCTCCCATTCTGTCAGTTGTCTTTTGATTTTGTTGACAATACAGCAACTTTTTAAGCAGATTTGCATGAAAGCGCTGAATTAGTTACATCAAACAAATGAAAATCACATATAGGAAAAGACCTGGAAAGAAATGTATTAAGATGTACACACTGCTGGTTTGAGGGTGCACAATGGGTCATTAATTTTCCCTTAACACTTTTTATATTTTCCAACTTTTCTATAAGGAGAAATTTTTAATCTTTCAATGTTCCAAAACAGCAAGTGTGCATTATTATTTTTTTTTTAAGATTTTATTTATTTGAGAGGGAGAGAGAGCTCAAGCAGGGGAAACTGCAGAGGGAGAAGCAGGCTCCCCACTCAGCTCGATCCCGGGATCCCAAGATGTGGGAGTGGGACTCGATGTGGGACTCGATCCCGGGATCCCAGGACCATGACCTGAGCTGAAGGCAGATGCTTAACCGACTGAGCCACCCAGGCGCCCCAAGTGTGCATGATTTTTAAAATATAAAATATAAACTTTTAAGAATATGGTTCTTAAAAAATATATATAGTTCTTGAACTCAAAAGATCCAAATAAAATCTGGAGCTTAACTGATAGTAAACCAGTATTGCTCATCTCTTCCTTGTGACAAATGTGAGCCTGGTGTGTAAGATGTTGGCATTGAAGGAATCTGGGTACGGGTCCATAGAAACTCTGTGCTATCTCTGCCACTCTTATGTAAGTCTACAGTGATTTGAAAGTGTAAGTTGTAGGTGCACCTCATGGCTCGTTTAGTTGAACATCTGCCTTCGGCTCAGGTCATGGTCCCGAGGTCCTGGGATGGAGCCCTGCATCGGGCTCCTTGCTCAGCGGGGAGCCACCTCCTCCCCCGCCCCTCTGCCTGTCCGCCTTTACTTGCTTGAGCTCTCTCTCACTCACTCGCTCATTGTCTCCCTCTGTCAAATAAACTGAAAAGGAAAAAAAAAGAAAGTTTGACAGACTCTGCATCACCTGGAGTCTGTGAGAACCGCAGCTTGGAAGCTGGGAGGGAAGAAGGCAGTGTCGCGCCCACACGCTCCGCTGCCTTTGCTTACGGGCTGCCGTCTTTGCGGACTCCCTTCCCTGTCCCTCTGGAAATGCAAGTCGTGACCATTACATGTAGTTCCCCTCTGGTATTTTGCAGTGGCCTCTCTCCTAAAAGGAAGACAGGGCATTTACACAGAGAACGAGCGGCGGATGGGTGCCATGATCAAGATCCGGTTTTTCAAAATAATGCTGGTTTTCATCATTTGGTAAACTTTCTTCTATATATATTTTTTTAAATTGCCACTGGGAAGGGATGTGCAGTAACACTTTTCCAAGTATGACTCAGAAGTTTTTTGCAAAGGGAGGACTCTTTGGAAAGGAAGTCTCAGACACTGTGCTGGGGCGCTTAGAGGAAATGCGCGTGAGACAAGAAGGCCAGTCCCCAGCGTGTGAACTCCTGGGAAGATATGCACATCTGCTCAGGTCATATGTAAAGCCCTTCGAACAGAAAAAGTCCCGTGTTTAGTTTTGTTACAACCCAGAAGTGTGTCCAGTGTTTACTGCCGCTGCTAGGGCTAACTCCGAAATAAAGCACTTGACCACGCTTTTAAAATTTACCTGTTGAGGATTCCTGTATCTGACAAGAAACAAGGGCAAGGGTACATTTTTTGGTGTGAGGGCTCCGGGGTGGTCAGGAAATGTAGAGAGTAATTTCTCTCTGCTCAGTTTGCCCCACCACCAGCACTCTGCCCCGAGTTTCGGGAGGAGGCTTTGAACATGGATCTGTGACTGATGTGAAACAGAGGGGAATCCAAAAGGCTCTTGCTAGAGTGAATCAGTAGTTTGCAGAGCAGGGTGCGTCTTTGTGCACATTAATAATGTACCCGCGAGGACAAGGTTGGTTTGGACATTCTCCTAGGAGAGGTGGAGACTATCTCTCTCTTAAAATATACTCAGCCCATCATTTTCACGTTCGTTGGCCTACCAGCAATAGTAACGTTAGAAAGTTTCAACATAAGATAGCGAGATTTTAGGAGGTCTCCCTCAAAAATTTTCATTACCCTTCCAGCGAGACACGAGTTTTGGGTCATTTCATATTGGGTCAGTCTATTTCATCGGCTGCTTAGATCCACTCGTGCTGACGTGGGGCGAGCGTTACCCTTGGAAACATTTGTCGCTCTCTGCTGTAGACGTGAGGAAAGGAGTTACAGCTCTTAAATTCTGCATGCACAGGTTTCTGCTGATCGAGGGGGCCCCCTGCCCAGGACTTACGGGACTTAGAAGACACATTCCCTGACCCCCTGCATTTTCAATTAGCAATAATCACGCCTCGGATAAACCTCATTGGCTACGATACTGCCACTGCGCAAAGCTTGACCCCCTGCGTTTTCAAGTAAATCCTGTATAATGTGGGCCTGTTTTCCTTCCGACAGTTGGCTGCCGAACGTCATCAATGAGATCCTTCTCTTCTATCTCGAAATGCAAGCAGACATCAATGGCAGCTCTTTGAAACCTGTCAGAAATGCGGCCAAGACCACGTGGTTTATTATGGTAGGTCAGGCTTGATCTTAAGACTTTTTTCCTTGAAAAGCAAAAGTCCAAAGGACAAGAACCGCTCGGCAGTACGGAGAATGAGTTTAACGGGTTCCCCGTCCCTCCATCTGGCTTTGATCTGCGAGCTCGCTCGTGCCTTTCGTTGTTGGGATCATTGATTAAATGGGCACGACTCCTGTCAGCCGGTTAGGCGCAGCGTATCAGACCTTCCAGGCCAACTCAAAATTGCAGGGAATTTAGCTTGAAGAACGGTTTCAGCCTGTAAAAAAGCCACAGGCGTGACGGTATTCCTTGCAATAGGATCCGTCATGAGAAAGCAGGGTAGGCCGCCGCAATAAAAGAAACACGAGGGAATGGCTACGTAAATTCCTTTTCTCCCACTTGACGGAATGGCGTGCGGGTGTGACTTCATGAGAGCTCTAGTAGTCAGGGAAAACGCAAGATAAGAACATGAGGCTAGTTACAACCACAGACTAATGTGTGAAGAAACGTGGGGTAGAAAAGCACAACGGGGGTGAGCGGTGCAGGACACCCCCTCCTCCTCTCTCTCCCCTGCCCCCCTCTTCTTCCCTGTCCCCTGCCCCCCCGTTCACTGCACCCCCTTCCTCCCTATCCCCTGCCTCCTCCTTCCCCGTCCCCTGCCCCCCTTTTTCTCCCAGTCCCCTCCCCCACCTCTGTTTTCAGGCTCCCTGGAAGGTGCAGTGCCTAAAGCCAGTCTTTTCCTGGCCCCAGACCAGCCCGGCGGCTCCCTTCCCCATGAGGCAGCCCATCGGGCGTGCGGGCCGCGGAGCTGATGCTCTCATTCCCACCCCGCAGCGCTGACCGACCCCTGCGTTCTCTCCTGCCTCCCAGGGGATACTGAATCCGGCCCAAGGGTTCCTCTTGTCCTTGGCCTTCTACGGCTGGACGGGCTGCAGCCTGGAGTTTCGGTCCCCCAGGAAAGAGATCCAGTGGGAGTCGGTGGCGACGTCCGCTTGCGAGCGGACCTGCCTGTCCCCCGAGGGCTCCCGCGTGCCCTGTGAGCGTCCGACCTGCAGGAAGGTGGCGGGGGTCGGCGGGCACACGTCGGACGAGGCGCTGAGCATGCTGTCTGAAGGTAAGCCCTGTCCGCCGAGGCGGGTGCGTCGTGGAGTCCCTGGGCCAGCCTGGAAGTCCTGTGTCCAACGAGGAGGTGACATGGTGCGGGACTGGGGGGTCCGCCCTGCGGTCACGTGCTTCAGGCACAGCAGCCGACAGCGACGCGAACCGGGCTCGTTACCGCCCACCTCTCTCTCATCTTTTCATGCCGCCTCCGCTCGGTGCCTCGGCAGGCCGGCCTCGCCGACCCGCACGTGCTCCCCGCCTTGGCTGGATGGCGTCAGGGACAGGAGAGCGCTTGTCACGCCACACCGCTGGCGGACCCGTGCCGCGGGGCCGGGGAGGGCGGGACCAGCCTGGGCTCTGTCGAGGTGGCTGCAGGGGGTTTGCCCGGCTCACGCGTGGCCGCTGCGGGTTAAAAGCCTGAGCACCCGGAAGGGCTCTTGGGATCTGTCCTTCCACCTAACGACGCTAGTGCCGTGCCCTCCGGACTGCTCTGCGGTCATCGGACTGGGCTTGCGGAACCCGAGCGTGGTCATTTAGACATCGAGGAAGTGATTCCATAGTGAGACGTACACGAAAACCTGCGGAAACAGCAGTGCGAGCTGAAACGCGGGAGCTGCCTTAAAACCGTACGTTTTCAGCTCCCTAGCCCAGGGAAACGGAGCTCTAGCATCAGATGGGATGAAACCAAAACGCGGGGGCAAAGACACACACACCCACACAGGAAAAGGCAGCTGATCAACTGATGGAGCCTCGCGGCAGCCCTCAGTGTTTGCTGTGTTGACGAGAGCAGCCTTACTCTAACTGATGATGGTAGTGTTGTACGGTCCGAACTGGAAGTTTAGAAATGACTTTTTGCTAACGTACCGGTGTCCTCCCTGTAGAGGTTCCTTGTAATGCTTCATTTTAGCCCCGTTGCAGCTCTTTTTTTTTTTTTCTTTTTAGATTTTATTTATTTGACAGAGATCACAAGGAGGTAGAGAGACAGGCGGGGGGGAGGCAGGCTCCCCGCAGAGCAGAGAGCATGATGTGGGGCTCGATCCCAGGGCCCTGGGATCATGACCTCAGCTGAAGGCAGAGGCTTTAACCCACTGAGCCACCCAGGCACCCCCCACCCCCCGTTGCAGCTCTTGATGAGGACAGGTTTGGAAATCACCGCTCTGACCTCTGCAAAGGTTTAGCTGACCTAATCATATGTAACCTACACGTAGATTGATCCGTAGGACCAGATCTCTGGTAGCAATAATGTTTCACGAGCCCACTGGTAGTTTCAGAAAGAGCCAGAGAGAATGTTGAAGAAGGTCAACGACTGACCATGTTCTGGAACATACAGGCTCCGTCATCTTTCCTCAGCTGACACTGGGACTGGCAGAAATGCACCTGCCTCGTCCGTCAGCCTCTCACCCTATCTACTGTGTCTGTCTTCCGAGCGGGTCTCTAATTCCCAGCACTGATGGCATCTAGCTCGGCGGGATGCTTTGTGCCGAGGGTGGCCTGGGACGTGTAGGATGTGGGGCAGCCTCCCTGGCCTTTGCCCGCTCACTGCCACTAGCACCCATTCCGATTGTGACCGCCAGCACTGTTTCCACACATAGCAAATCCCCTAAACGCACACTGACCCCAGTTTGAGCTCAGCTGTGTGTCTGATATGAGGAAGTGGTCCAGTGTCCTTCCTCGGCGTGCGGCGGTCCAGCGTCCCCAGCGCCGTCTGTTGAAGAGGCTGTGTCTCGCTGAGTGTGTGTCTTCTCTCCTTTGTGGAAGACTAGTTGGCCTTGCGGTCATGGGTTTCTTTCTGGGCTCTCTCTTCTGTTCTGTTGATATGCGTGTCTGTTTTTTTCTGCCGGTACCATATTGTTTTGATACTAGGAAGATATCTTGACATTTGGGATCGCGATAGCTCAAGATTGCTTTGGCTCTTCGAGGTCTCTGTGTGGTTCCGATTATGTGTTCTAGGTCTGTAAAAAAGCTGTTGGAATTTTTGTTTTGTTTTGTTTTTTCTTATCTCTTGAAGATTTTACGTATTGGTTTGACAGACGGAGATCGCAAGCCGGCAGAGAGGCCGGCAGAGAGAGAGGAGGAAGCAGGCTCCCCGCCGAGCAGAGAGCCCGCCGCGGGGCTGGACCCCAGGACCCTGGGTCTCACGACCTGAGCCGAAGGCAGAGGCTTTCGACCCACTGAGCCAGCCAGGCGCCCCAGGCTGTTGGTATTTTGATAGGCATTGCATTCCGTCTCTAGATTGTCTGGGTCGTAGGGACGTTTTATTGACGCTCTTCCAATCCGCAAACAAACGGCTGTCTGTCTGTCTGTTGGTGTCACCTTTCATGTCTTTCGTGAGTGTTTTATAGTTTCCAGAGTACAGATCTTTGACTTCTCTGGTTCAGTTTGTTCCTAGGTATTGGGCCGTTTTGGGTGCCATCGTAAGTGGGGTTGTTTTCTTCTTATGATTTTTATTTTAGGATTTGTATTTATTGACTGACTTGACAGAGAGTGAGAGAACACAAGCAGGGAGCAGAGGGAGAGGGAGAAGCAGGCTCCCCACCGAGCAGGGAGCCCGATGTGGGACTCGATCCCAGGATCCTGGGATCGTGACCTGAGCCAAAGGCAGATGCTTAACCACCTGAGCTACCCAGGCCCCCCGGGGTCGTTTTCTTTTTAAAACAGATTTTATTTATGCATTTGAGAGGGAGTGAGAGAACACAAGAGGGGGCAGGGAGGGGTGGAGGGAGAAGGAGAGAAGCAGACTCCGCGCTGAGCAGGGAGCCCCATGCGGGGCTCGACCCCAGGACCCCGAGAGGATGACCTGAGCCGAAGGCAGACGCTTCACCGATGGAGCCACCGGAGCGCCCTGGGATTGTTGGCTTCATTTCTCTTTCTGCTTCTTAGTGTTAGAAAGGCATGGATTTCTCTGTGTGGACTTTGTAACCTACGACCTTCCTGGATTTGTTGATAAGTTCCAGTAGGGGCTCTTTGGAGTCTGGCAGGTTTCTTGTCTGTCTCTAGCATCGTGTCATCTGCAAACAGTGAGAGCTTTACTTCTTTCTTACCCGTGCAGATGCCATTTCCTTGTTCTTTCTCGTGGGATGCTATGGCTGGACTTGCAGTACGGTTTTGCGTGGCCGCGGTGAGCATAGAGGTCCTCGTCGCGCTCCTCATGGTCAGGGGAAAGGTCTCCGCGTCTCAGCACTGAGTGTGAGGTTAGCTCCGGGCTTTCCTTCTGCGGCCTTGATTATGCTGATGCTTGTTCCCTGTAAACCTACTTCGTTCAGGGCTTCCGCCCCCCGACCCGCGAATATCTTCCTTCTTTCTTTCTTTCTTTCTTTCTTTCTCTCTCTCTCTCTCTCTCTCTCTCTTTTGGACGCACAGAGAGAGCGCAGAAGCAGGGGGAGAGGCAGAGGCGGAGGGAGAATCGGGCTCCCCGCGGAGCAGGGAGCCAGAAGTGGGGCTCAGTCCCAGGACCCTGAGATCAGGTCAGAGGCAGAGGCTTTACTGACCGAGCCACCCAGGTGTCCCTGTTGAAGGCTTGTATCACGAATGCCTGTCGTACTGTGTCAAAAGCTTTTTCTCCATCTGTTGAAATGATCCCATGGTTTTTATCCTTTCTCTAGTTTTTTTGTTTGTTTGTTTTTTGTTTGTTTTTAAAGATTTCATTCATCTTTTTGACAGACATAGGTCGCGAGCAGGCAGAGAGGCAGGCAGAGAGAGAGGCGGAAGCAGGCTCCCCGCTGAGCAGAGAGCTTGCCGCGGGGCTCGATCCCGGGACCCTGAGATCGTGACCCGAGCCGAAGGCAGAGGCTGGACTCCCTGGGCCACCCAGGCGCCCCTCTAGTTTGTTTTTTGTTTTTTCATCCTTTCTCTTGTTGATGGGGTGTATCTTGTTGATGGATTGGGAAGTAGTGAACCAATCTTGCATCCAGGAATCAGTCTGGCTTCCTTGTGGTGAGTGATTTCCCTAAACCGTTGCCAGACTCTGTCGGCCGGTATTTTTTTGAGGGGGTTTGCTTCTGTATTCGTCAGAGGTGTTGGCCTGCATCTCTCTCTTCTCCTGTCTCTCTCCCCTTTTTCTTAACTTTAATTTTTTAATTTTTAATTTTTTAAAAGACTTTGTTTTACTTTTTTTTAAGGATTGATTTATTGATTTGGCAGACAGAAATCACAAGGAGGCAGAGAGGCAGGCAGAGAGAGAGGAGGAAGCAGGCTCCCCGCTGAGCAGAGAGCCCGATGCGGGGCTCGATCCGGGGACCTTGGGATCACGACCCGAACCGCAGGCAGAGGCTTTAACCCACTGGGCCACCCAGGCGCCCCAAGACTTGATTGATTGATTGATTGATTGGTCAGATGAGAAGCGGGCAGAGAGGCAGGCAGAGAGAGAGGAGGAAGCAGGCTCCCCGCCGAGCAGGGAGCCCGAGGCGGGGCTCGATCCCAGGACCCCGAGGTCATGCCTGGAGCCGCAGGCAGAGGCTTTAGCCCGGTGAGCCGCCCAGGCGCCCGTCCCCTTTCTTAAAACAATGTGGCTTTAGTAAGAGTAACTGCCAAGTCAGCCAGCAACATGAGCAAAGTTAGGCACTAGGGGTGCGATGGAAGGGGAGGGGTCTGATGGAAGGGGTGGGAGCCTAGGGAAGGGGTGTGTGACGGAGGGGAGGGGGCCCTACGGAAGAGGTGGCGGTGTGGGGCGGAAGGGGCGGGGACAGACGGAATGGGCGGTGTGTACGATGGAAGAGGCGGGGCCCGAAGGGGCGGGGTGTGTGACGGAAGGGGTGGGGCCCTGCGGAAGGGGAGAAGCATGTGACGGAAGGAGCGTGGTTAGTGAGGAAGGGGGGGTCTGGTGGAAGGGGTGGGGCCCTCCGGAAGGGGAGGAGTATGTGCGGGAAGGGGCGGGGTGTGTGACGGAAGGGGAGGGGTATGTGACGAATGGGGCGTGGTGCCTGACGGAATGGGCGGGGCCGGGGACAAGGGGCGGGGTGTGTGGCGGAAGGGGCGGTGTGTGTGTGGCGGAAGGGGGTGGGGCCCTCCGGAAGG